CTCTCTCTCTCTCTCTGCAATGAAGTCGTTGACTGTCGTCGACCCATAACAACAGTATTAACAATCAATCCATTATATAATGAGTATTGATTGTAAGGCCATATAAATTGTCATTAATTAAATACCTGTCCACACAAGTGGACTCTTTCGCAACGAGAGAGAGAGAGAGAGACTGGAATTATATATGTACATGATCTATTGATTTATGGTTGATTGCAACATAATAAATCTCTATCCAAACGTAATCTAAAGCTACATAAAGTCATTTATTCTGATCCAGCAGGGTCATTTCGCAATTTTACACTTACAAATTGTTATTTATCGCAGTATTGTAACACGTATAATATAAATAAAATAAGAAAACAACATGGTTTTTAAATAATTAAATACGATCATTATGTTATGTAATACAAAACATTGGTAACCTTGACCGTTTATCTCATATTTCACTCACGAGCATTTCATACACTCATCGCGATTATTACCATAATCAATCAGTCATCTACACTGGAAAACAGATCTAGATTAATGTTAATGACAATGATAAAAGCACTATCTCTTAACATAAATCATATATCACAACATCCGTACCATTCATTCATAAACATAAGTATTATATTATTTTTTCGTTATTTATGTAATGTTAGTAACCCATTCCTTTTGTACCATGTAACAAATATTTTAAAAAATTAAGAAACGCCAAATATTAATTAAAATTTTAGGTCTTTAGAAAATTACGGAATTAATAATATGTTTACTATTATCATGAAAATGTCAATGACTTGAATTTAATGTATAATTCTTCAGACAAATGCACATGATGGATAATCTATCATGTTGCTAAATAAATCAAAATTATATGTTTTATTTATGTACTCAATTCTTGATATGTTATGACATGAACCGTATGTATTAATAATATAAATTATTATGTTATATATTTGTTTGAATACTCAAAATATGTTCAATAATACAGAATATTTTTGAAAACCCGGAATATTCTTATCTACAAAAAGCCGAAAATATATATATAATGTAAATCTTAGTACTTTTATATTATATACATGTATTATTTATTTATTTATATTCGAAAACAATTTGTTTTGTTGTTGTTTTTACCTCATTCAATAAAATAAAAATTTAAGATATGGTACAAAATTTATTTGGTTTTACATTTTTGTATGTTTTGTTTCAATTGTATTGATATTTATTTCTTAAAGTTTTGGTTTAAATAGATTTATCAAATTCATAGAGACTATTGTCATGTCTATTGTATTTGTTTTTTGAATTGAAAATAAGCTATGAAAAGCAGTTTTCTTTGTTTGTATTGTTTATCTTGAATATAATATAAAGTCTTTACTTATGGTTTGCGATACATATTTTGTTGATTGCATTCAAATCAATGGCAAAGCCATCACATTATATGTCAAACCAGATTGAAATTGCATACGAAATACAGTTTACATACGCTATAATATAAAACAACAACAGACTTATCAGTATAATTTTTTTACTTCAATAGAATCACTTAATCCCAAATAACTGACATAATAATAAAAATAAAATAAATTAATACATAGTTATACTAACTTGAATAGTACATATGACAAAAATAAAGGCAATATAATTGCTATTAATATTCAGATTGTGATAGTATTATTCAAAATCCAGCATTATTTAAATTTAGCTTATATTTTATAGAATAAAATAATTAAAATTTAAATAATTGTGTTATTACAATAATCATCTAGTAAATCTATATTATTGTTAAGTTAAATATGTGTGGGAAGCTATAGATTCTTTATATTAAAATTTTTAAATTTTTTACATTATTTATTTAGATTATTTGTAAAGATTATTACCTAACTAGTAGACTGCATGGTATGTTGTAATGATTATTTTGAAATGATATAATAAAATTTTTATTAATAATGTTATTTGTATTGTTTATCAGTAACTGTTTATTATTACAAAATATATCTGGAAAAGTACTGAGGAAGCATGATTGTATGCAAAATATCAACATCCTGTATGAACATGTATATGGTGATTTTTAATTAATTTTTACATAACATTTATTTGAATTGAATTTATTGTTATTTATACACGAAATACATTCAACAAGAGCTGATTTCCAATGCAGACGTGTTTTAAATATTTAAATTACATATTTCATATTCATTTACAAAATATTTAATAATAGTTAACAAAATTTAAGTGTATTAAAAATAAACTATTTATTTAATATTAGGATTACATAAAATTAGTTATAGCGTAACCACAATTGTAGACTAAAGGTATATAAACCAGGCACATTAGCTAAACTATCAAGTTAATTACAGTTTACTTTTCTTACTATTTAAGAGTTAAAATACAACAAACAGGTAAATATAATTTTTAATTAAAACAAACAAATATTTACTAATTTATCAATATGTTTATTATCAGATCCACTAAAATGTCCATGCTCGTTAAGCTTGCGATGGTTGCGGTGCTGATTGTGGCCATAATTAACATGGTGCTAATTGATGCTGATACTGCAACCAATTGCGCCAAATATTGTTGCGGTTTGTGTGGCAATAGCTCTATACCACAGGCCGACAATTGCAACAAATATTGTTGCTACCCCGGCGCTCCTTGTAATGCTTCATAGTAAATTGAAATGCAATTTACCACGGTTATAATTATTAAATTAGTTAGTTTCATAAGTTACAATTAATGTAATCTATTTCGTAGAATAATAATTAGATTTATCGTATTGTATTTTGTAGAATATAAATTAGATTTTTAATTTCAAACCGTGATGTATTTGTAAACTTTTATCAAGTTTGAAATAAAAAAATAGTTTTAAAGTAATTGATGTGTTTTTTTTATCAAAATTAATTAAGTGTCCATTTTTGGTGCTAATCAGTAAAATCATTTAATTTTTAAATTTTTTTAAATAAGAATATCAATATAATGTTTCTTACAAATATATTGTTATAATCATAATAATGAAATATAACAATTTAATTAATAAAGATAAAATTTGTATTAGAAATA